CATCATTTTAATCAATACACATCAAAGGTGAACCAGCAATCTGTTTCAATCACTGTTTTTAATGCATATTCTGTTACTTGGTATGGGATAGACACAATCGTCCCATCACATCACTAAGCAAGACCTACCACGCTTACCACCACACCAATGACTTTGGTATGAAATTAACCTACTGCACCCTTGTTTTCATTTGTAATATGGCAAATGCACTTTGAAAATGGAAATAACCAATTCGACCACGGCAGGAGCATAACTATGGAAACAAAGAGGGATGGAGAGCAGAGAATGACTGAATACTATCAAGGCCTTTGTGGTTCTTGGGCAATAAATTATGTTGAAAACCATAGCCTGGTCTTATGGCTACTGAATAGCGAAAATTCAATCTCCAAATGGAATAAAATTCCAGGAATAATACATGAGACAAAATATCTCAACACAGGAATAAAATGCCTCAAAGGGATTTCTGTCTCACAACAGTTGCTCTGGAGAAAAGATATCTGTCTGCACTAAACCTGTACTTATTTTTGCATATACAATTACATATTCATGTCTGCATTAAAATCAGCAGGGAAGAATAATATTATTCAGAAAATTTCAAGACAGTCTGTGAAACTCTAAAATCAGATTTTAAGAAGAGCAGAAATGATCTTGAAGAGACACTGTTAAGGTCACTGGAGCTTAGATGTAACAAAACTCCTCTTCATAACTGTTCAATAGTTTGCTTGATTTCGAATACACATGCCCCAGAGCTATTGCTTTTCCTGTAGTAGCATAACATTTAAAATAGCTCTACATGGGACAAACCCTCAGTATAGCAAACCATAGTACATATATAAAAAAACTAATTTTGCCACTGAGAAGCCTCATAATTCTGGATTTATGAAAGGAAGGGCTGGTAGACCGTATGCATCATAGGATATTCCAAGTCATGATGCTGGAGGAGAAGCCAAAGATCTTTCACAGCAGATTTCAGGGCCACGAAATCTGCTTCCATTGTCTGTACCTAGCACAGTGTAGTGTGGCACTCCTGTCACTGCTTAGCAATCTAAACCTCAGACATTTGTAGGAGTGCTCTGCCCAGGGCTCTCTTGCAAGCCTCCAGAAAACACACACAGTTTTTCAAGGACCTTTTGGACTTCAGCAATTTTCAATCCAAGGCTGAAAACAGTTAGGAAAGAAAATTCAGGTTCCAAAACATCATTAGAATAACCAAATAATGTACGAACTAGAAGGACATTAATGGTATATTTCTGGTATAATAAGGAATATATTTGCATCCGTCCACAGCATGAATGAGGTTTTAAAAAACCCTCTCAAAAGTCTGGCTAATAAATAGCCATGCAGTGTTTCTTCAAAGTCCAGTTGAAAAATTCAGACTTAAGGGTGGCAGAGCTGAAGAGACACACCAGAACTATGGAGAAGCACAGGCCTTACAGTACCGTGTAACATAAATCTGTTATGGCAGAGAAAGGATAAAAGGCAGCAGAAAAGGAAGATGGCTGTGCTAACCAAGGAACTTGTGTGTTTTGGGGATCAGTGAAGTAGTGAAGCAGAACTGAAGCAAGGTTTGTTTCCACACTAGCACCTCTGTGACCTCCCTTGGCAGATTATTCCATTGTCTGATGGGACCTCAGTGTCTGACCATTTTTCCTAATGACTTTACTCATTTAATGTCAGCATTTTATATTGCCCAGAGCTCATCTGAATAGACCCCATGGTTTTTGGGTTTTCTTGAAAGTGTGTGTGATACAGTAGTTACAAAATTTCCCCCCTTAGTCATCTTAACGATTGGTCAGAAAATAGATGAATACCTGAGTAAATATATGCATTCTTGCATGAGCAAAATTTTGTATGTGCATGCAAAACTCAATTTGAATGCACAAATGACTATATATGCATTATACGCTTCCTTCTCTACACATATGTACACTCACATATCACATGCAAGAATGTCTATTTTCTGACTAATAATCTGGCCTCTCTTCTCACAGCTATTTTCACAGATCTAGGCTCTCCTGATCATAAGATTAAAAGTATATATTTTTTATCCCCTTTTAATATTACAAGTCACTTTTGAATAATCAACAGCCCTTTATCAATACTGAAAGATGTTAAAAACCAGAAAACATTCCAAACACAGGCATTAGTTATGTTTTTTCCATAGTTATTCTATAGCTATGGAACAGTAACAGTGGTTAATCTGAATCAACATATCTCAATGCTACACCCACAACTGATTTTAATGAGGAACTCTCTACCTAGATTTTAAAGTAGACTTGATTTCAGTAGTGTTCAACTCCTTCCCTCTTTCCTGTATTTTTCAAAGTGAGTGCAATCTCTTCTAGCTTGGCAAGTATCCAAAATCACCTTTTCAGCATTTGAAATTTACTGCCCTAGATTCCTTTACCACTTCCAAAGTTGCACAATAATCACATTTAATTTGTGTGATATTTGTCTCCAGCCTGAATATATATCACACTTCACTTTCCAACTAATAAATTGTTCAATTTTAAGAGGACAAGTAAAAATTTCAGTATGATCTTGCTCAAAGATTTGCAACAACAAAATCCAAACAATTGCAAAATATACAGCTGATACAAAACATCTTATGGATCATAAACATAGTGTAAATGTATAACGTATATCCTTTCTAAGCATAGAAAAGTTATCAGTCAAAGTTGATAGGACCAGGTCACTGGGGAAGATATCTTAGTGAGAGCAGACTAAAAACGTGAAAATAATAGGGATGTCCGCAACACAGACTACATATTATCTGATTTTATCACCATTAAAAAAAAGTGTTCAGAAAAAAACAAGCGTACAGAACTACTAGGAATCAAAATTGTCAGAATAAAGAAAGCTGGCTTATACAATATGGAAAGAAGTACTATGAAAACATGACATTCTAGAAGCAGCTTGAAGAAAAATGAGAAAAGGTGTAAATAAAGGTGTATAAAATCACCCTAACAATTATTAAAGAGCAAGAAGCTGTCTTGAAACTTATATGAAAGACTGCTCTGAAATAATCTGAAATCACTACTAAAACTGAAATATCCAACTAAAATACCATTAAAGGAAGGAGAAAAGGAATAAAACAACAGGAACGGATTTACAATATAACAGCAGTGAAATAATTACCAGAAAGAGAAAGAAGCTGCACTGAGAAGGCAGAAGGTATTTATGTCAACAATAAATAAAAAAAATCTGACATACTAAATGCCTCCTGACTTTGAAGAAATATCGCCGCAACAGGAATACTTACAAAAATAATAAAGGCCTCCTAAAAATACCTATTGTCGAAGCAACCGCGCACCTTGATCATGAAAGGAAAAGAGCCAATAAACAGACTAGATGTGCGGAGGAATCTGGGACTTACTAGATGCAGGCATCAAGTGAAAATTATTTTGGAACTGTGCATGCTGATTCGATAACTGTATTACCAAAGCGCTGATGAATACTGAGCAAAGCAACAAAAATTACTGTGAGATGAATGGCCAACTTCTCATGGAAACAGGACAAGAGCTACACACCCGCAACTCGGCTAAACACTGACTAAGGCTGTCTGCAGCTAGGCGAGGGCTGCGGAACCCGACTGGAAAGCAGCTAGTTACGGTATTAAATCAGCTCCTGATAGATACTAATGGGGTTCATTTGGGGTTGACGCATCCTGCAGCAGCGCAGAGGCATGTAAGTCAGTGCAGGCACTAGATGCCACCCAGCCAGAGCAGAGCAGGGCAGCAGGGTGAGGGAGCCGGCGTGCCCAGCTGGCTGGACCCTTCCCACTGCATTACAAGGTTTTCATTCTGCCAGAAATACATTAAGAAAAACCTCCCCATATGATAACATTATATCTTACTGCTAGGAAGACATTCAGAAGGGCTTTGACTTGCAGTTGTCAGTCCTTTGGGCTCCTTCTGCATAGCTACAGAGAGAGAGACTTCTCCAAGGGTGGACTCAGATGAGCTACCTCAGGCTGCTGTTCTGGACACGCAGCCCTGCTTTCAGTGCCTACACAAGGAACTTGGGGAAATGCATCTCACTAGATGAGAAGTAAACGCATTAAATGCGACAGACAGCAATTCTGCAATGACAGAGGGGGCTTTCTCACTTCTACATTTAAGCTAGGATTCAGTGTCGAGCCCAAAGTTTGTTGGTTTTTTTTGTTTGTTTGTTTTTAAATATACCTTTGTAAACTATCTAAAGAAAGAAACAAGTACCTTGATCTTATTTACAGGCAAATTCAACCTTGCAACTAGGAAAGTGCAAAGTCAAAAGACGCAAATCATTCTCAAAGGATTTATCACAAAATTATTCTCTTGTACTGTTCAAGCACAAAATTAACTGTACATATTTTCCGCTGAAAATCTGACAGTTGGTGAACTGCAAGTATTTTCACCCAGAGGAAGACAAGAATAAGTAAATTTTTGCTTGGCTTTTGTAGTTTCCGCATGTGGGGCTGTTATTTACACTTTTTGTTACTTTAACACAGAAATACTTGATTATTACCTAGGAAAATGTAAATACACCAATTTATCTAATCATGATGTGTATTTCTTTCCCCCAGGAAGCTGTTTTTTTCAGGTATCTTCAGTTAAAATACTATTAATCAGAAACCCTTTGCTCTGTGTTTCACTGCAAAACCCAGTGGCCATCAGCAACGCAGGACTGTAGCGGAGTTCACACAGAAGTATAGACAGTATATACCCAGATGAAATAATCTCTTCCGACCCAGGTATCTTTAGGAACATAGGAAAATAATTAAACTGGGGCCTCCAACCCTCTTATGGTTTATGTGACTGAACATGAACATTCTCTTGTGCATTAAATCTATTCCTGACACTTACCTTCACAGAAGCAATGACAAGGCAATCTTTTCAGTGCCATTTCTATGTTACTATTTCAACCCCTAAATGCTGCATCAAGTAATCTCATGTCTCAGAAAAGCCAACTAGAACTGTCAAACCAAGTTTTCTCTGAATGTTATGCAAACTGTTACTTACAATCCGAGGTTTGAAGGGTGGCTTGATTTTCCTTTGTTCTAGAAGAACCCAGTCTATTTCCTTGAAAAACGGATGCTGCTTAATCGCATCTTCCCCGTTTTGTGACGCCACACAGCCAAGTCGCTTATTTGGGTTTTTTGTCATGAACTACAGGGTGGGGGAGGGAGAAGAGAAAAAAGTTAAAACATGAATGGCAACAGTTGGTAACCATTTGCAGGTCAATTACTCATTACAATTCCTAATGCCTAGTTTTTAAAGACAGTCCCCTTTCAGAAGGTTATTTTTTCTCTAAGAGAGACAAGGATGCCCCTCCAAATTTCAGAGGTTCCAGCTAAATTAACAAATTTAGAGACTCTGAAGTGTAAGTTTCCTACAGGAAGCTCTTTCAACTGATTGCTGTGACCTCGTAATCTCATCTGGCTGGGAGTGCTACAGGAACACATTCTCTTTCAGTATTTCTAGTTCCAACTTTGCCCAAAAATATTGAAGAAAGAAAGTATTAAAACCTCCAGAGACACTTCCAAATAGATGGTCAGCATAGCTCGTATTTTATCTTATTTGCTCTGTATTAACCATTAATTTGGGGGATAGGGGCTACATATTATGCTTACTGTTGTTTATTTTTGTTGGGTACACAGGTTGCATAATCATGCACCCCATTCAAGAAGACACATGAACAGTCCTAACCTTACTCATTTCTTGGATTTTGTTCTAATACGAGTAAGAACAGCACCTGCAGCTGTGAGAATTATAAGCGTTCTGTCCATATATTTCAGGAAATACACGGACTCAGTACAAGGAGAAAGCTTCCCTTGAAAAACTCCACAATATAACGATATCAAATGATGGCAGCTGATAATATTTTTCCTGATTTTGCTCTGTTATTTCTTCCTTCATTTATTAGCAATTGCTCTACATATTTCCTAATGCATGTGGACATAGAATGCTTGCAATTCAAGTAGCAACAAACGCTGTTCGTATACACACATGCACTCATATTATAGAATTATCCCAATGTTTGCCATAACTCCATATTCAGCTATTATTATACCATTTTTTAAATTAAAAAAGTATACAAATGAAACAAAATGTGATAATTGTTCAGTGTCTTTTTAACCTAGGTACCACATCATACTATACATCTGCAGAAAAAAAAACTTACAAAAAAAAATAAATCACTATAATGCATACTCTTGCTTTAGTACTCCAGTTATTAGATAAGTAGCTACTGAAGCCCTTAAGATGGTTTTAGATAGCTAGATCAACCATCCACAGGAGAATACCATTGCTATCATTTTAAAGACATAACATAGATCAGCAAGGCAATTCTCTCTGTGGTTTCTGACATATACGCGCCGCTCCAAAGTCGATCCTTCTCTTTGGTCTTGTGTTCAACTGCTCTGCAAGTTCTTTTGCAAGTAGAAAAGTCGTATCTAAACTACAGGCCATATTTTCTATGAGCAGGAGAGACAAAGGTTTTGAAAGGATTACTGTGCTTTGGTGAGGTCTCTTGGAAAACCACAAAATGCATTCCTACATTCCTCCGCTTTACTTCACCTCCAGGACCGGAGTGAGCAGGCCAGGAATCAGCAGCCACACGTTTTGCAGAAACAGAACACGGAAACTACAGGATATGCTTTTTGTACTGTATAATCCAGGTATCAAAGGAGTAAAATCTCATCCTAGTATCTGCCATGGTGTATCTTTGTTTTAAGCCAGAGGCAGGGAAAACATCAGAACATGTCATTTTTAAGAAGCCTAGGACATGAAAATACGACTAGATAGTACAGTTTAGTACTGTACTTCAGAAACTTCATGAAACTTGGAAATGGATGACGAGGGAGAGCAAATTTTAAGAAGGAATACTTTAAACAAATAAAAAATTATATGCAGGTGTGATGAAATAATCTCAAACTTCTGGAGTGGACATTTAATTCTATAAATTTCAACTCATGCAATAAATATTCATTTTTTTCACCTATTTCTGAAGCACAAGCTGACATTTATTCTCTGTTTATCATCAGCATCAACAATGATACAACCGTCAGGGCAGAGACCGCTGTTGACTGTACTGTGTTGATGAGATGGTTGCCAATGGAACTGACAACCATAGCCGTAAGTGTTGCCTTTTTATTTTCCCATATTAGGGCAGGAACCTCCTTTTATGAAAAGAGAAGCCTTTCAAGATCGGAGTTCCTACTGACTTAAACGTCAACAGGACAAAAGATTGCTGAGATAGCCTGGTAACTTGGGGCCCACATGAAGGATCATCAAGGTCCCAAAATTTTGCTTCTTGAAATAAATGCACAGCTTAGAAACAGAGTTTCGCTTCTGTACGCAGAGGTCTCTGTCGTCTGGGTACACAGGGAACACACACTATAGACACAAGCTCTTTGCATTGCTTGCAAAGAAGCACAGAGCTAATTTCAGTGAAGAATTGTTTTTCTTACCAGACAGGAAAGAATTTTAAATAGCAATTCCTGTCAATTCACAGAAACAAAACTAATAAGATCTGTGGGATTTCATGGGACAAGCAACGTGCTGCCTTGCAATACTCAGCTGTAAAATTATCCTCCTTAGTGTTTTGTTGCAAATAACAGGAAAACTGTTTCTTCAGAAAACAAGAAAACATTGTTACTTAATACAAGAGACTATCTTCTTATTAGACTTTCCTTACATGCCGTTTAGTGCAAAAATACACTGTTTCTAAAGAATAAAACCCATGTCTCAAAGCACAATGTGAGGAAACGAAGTGTTCCAAAGTTAATCCCTTGCTACCATTCAGCAGTAAACTACATAGACGCCTCTTTCTTTCCTCTGTTTTTCCTGTTCTCCGTTTAACAGAATGTGGACAAGGATCAGATGAAGAACACAAGTTTCAAACATGTTTCACACCATGGCTGCATAAGCAGCACGTTGCTAAATGTAAGGAAATGCTTTCTTTTTATGGTGTAAACTGGCACAGCTCCGTTAAATTATATCAATTTATGCCAATGAAGACATCTTGCTCAATGAGGAATAACAAGTTATTACAGTGCAAATGTATTTAATGGATACAACTCTCTTTTAAGGTTTATAATGGCAGTAAGGATTAACTTTAGGCAAAAAAAAAACCCCAAAAGGCCACAACTACAGCAAAATACAAATCCCCATGCCTGCTATGAAAACGCAGACCTGGGAAAACAGTCTCATGAAAATTTATAGCAAAGTCAGCTTCAAAACAAAGTAGAGGGTTTAACACCCTTGCACTTACAGTCACAAAAATACATAGCTTACACCTGCAGCCCAATTCTGTGTCTGCATTTGTGTGTGGTTAAAGAATGACATGTATAACATTAACAGACATCTCACTACTTGCACCACCAATGAGATAACACAGTAAGGCTCTGACTGTGAAATCTGTTTTTCCCTTTGCTCTGTAAAATAAACACCTTCTAATAGTCACAATGGCTCTCGTACCACACACTTAAAATCAAGAGTTGTGAGTTAACTCTTCCCCTCCAACAAATGTTTGCATGATTCAGAATCATAGAAAGGTCAGTAAACACAGATTCACTCAAGTAGCCAGTGGATGGCAAAGGAACACATCTAACAGACTGTGAAACCAAAATACTACAGAAAATATCCTGGACTTCAGAGAAATTCAGATGCAGATATGAACACTGACAACAACCCTTTCTCTATAATACGTCAAAATAACCTCTGAACCCTCGATATCAGCCTGAATTCTGCAGCTCAAGTCCATACATTTTAACTGCTGAACGGAAAATAATTGAAGGGTCTGGAAACAAAAATGGACACATGAAAGTATCATGTCAGCTAATAAAAAGTCATCAGAGAGCAATCTGGGGGGAGAAGGGAGAATATGTATACAGGTCAGCTTTAATAAATCCTCCATGTTCTCACTACAGTGAATGGAGCAAAAGAGAAAATCCAGCAAACAATTCAGAGAGGTCAACTTTGACTTCTGTTTTGAATCATTTGCTAGAGCATCTCTCTCTCTCAGCAAGAATGAGCCTGCTGATATTTTTATTAAAATATCAAGATGAGCATTTCTGCAGAAAATGTTACCTGTCCACTGGTGTTAAAATCAGAATTTGTTCGAGTTTTATATATAATTTCAAAATGTAACCCCGTATGCAGCTCTTTGCAGGACTTTACCAGCTGCCCTCTTAATTGAAACTCTCCCTTATTTCAGATGCTGAAAGAAAAATAGAAGTGTAAAGGTAAAGATCTTCCACTTTCAAAGAATGTGGAAAACTGGAGTAAAAAACAAATTGTTTGTTTTTAGGCCAGAAATCCTCCTCAGGTTTTCAAACTGTGAGGATTGGCATACTGCTTCTGTTTTGTTTTGCTTTCTATTTTAGGATGATACTAACATAGAAGAAAGAATTTATGTCAGTGTCACGCTAATGAAGTAAACTTGACTTTAGAAAGGTAGTCTAAAAATTGAAGTTGCCTAGTGGCACATTTTGACTGACCAAAAAAATTGTGGCATTTGCTGACACATTTCTGTCAGGTCACTACTTCTATTGAGAAACATCAACCAGGGCAGTAACAATTACACTAGCGTGAGACTGTTTATCAAAGTGTTATATGAACTATGAAATAGAACATGCAGCTGTAAATAAAAGGCTTTCAACCCACCTTGATGATAGGGGAAGAAAGGCAGAGGGAAAGGACATTTTATAAATGGGTTAAATAAAAACATTGTTTTTTTAATTACATAGTGCTCCCCCCACCCTAGTGAACATGCAGCATATAAAGTGTCAATGTGATAGCACAGTTCTAGTTGGTTGGGTTTTCCCTGAAACATGAATCTGTGGTACACAGATTTATACAGTGTACAACTGCGTGGAATACAAACATTCTGTTCCTTTCCCACAAGTGGTGTAATTTATCCCAGGCCCCATTATCCTAACAGTGGCACTCTGAACTGTGCTTGAACTCCCAGCGGTGACTGCTCTCAACAACTTTCAGCAAATTCAATTTTAATCAAGGAAAAAACCCTAACAACCTCCCAAAACAACACGAAGAGGAGCAGGAAAGCAAGTAATGGAAGACTCACTGCTTTTAAAATGCTGACAGCTTCTTTACTGAGCCAGACTGGATACAAGACATCATCGTGAAGGATGGATTCAAAGAGATCATCTTCGTTGTCAGCTTCAAAGGGGGGCTGCCCAGCCATCATTTCATACATGAGAACACCCAATGCCCACCAGTCTACTGATGGGCCGTATTCTAACTCCTGGAGGATCTAGTATAGAAAGAGATTGGAATAAACAGACAAGGTAGACAACACTCTCAGCTGCACGTTTGCTGTTTCAACACGATACACCCCTTCTTTCCCCCAGTGCTTAAGCAGGACTAAATCCCACACTGATTTTGGTAACAGCAGACATAATTTCTTACCGATGCAATTTGCACTAAGACAGCTAAGTGTCAATGTGTAGCTGTTCTCAGAAGGACTGACTGAGTTTATCAGTCCCCTGAGTAAAAGAGTATGCTCGTAAGCAAAAGAGCTGTATATCCTTCCAAACTGTTTAAAGCAGGTCACGCTATAGGGGAAAAAAAGATCACATATACAAAACAGATTGGTGGAAAATGTGAAACATTTCCTTGTCTCTATCTTGAACAAAACAAACTGAACCAGCTTGTAATGCTGCACAGAGATCATCTGAGAGATTTATTCTAGTCCTTTAGGTAGGGCTGGAGGAAGCCAAAAGCATTTTTGTTCAAGTTCTTTTACAGCACTAAAATGCTGTACAATACATGGCTGTAGGACTCACTTTAATGGCCCTTTCAGAAAAACTGGCTACAGCTTTTCACGTGGCACAAGTTCAACCTTGCAGCAAATATCTTTACTGGGGAGTAGTAGGTTAGCGTGATGGTGGTTTATTGTACTACTTCGTGCTACAGAACTAATGTTGTATAAGGAACAAGTTTAATTCTTGGCTCCTCTCCACTGAAAAGAAGCTTGTAGATTGGCTGCAGCATTTCAGCATGAGAGGGGACTGGGAAAGTAGAGTGGGTGACTGTTTAAGGTGAAGCTGACTGCCTTAAAATGAGGTGGAATGGCAACAACTCCACCACCTCCTTAAACACCACCAGTGCTGCAGTCAGAAGCCTTGCGGTGAACCACATGAGCTCAGTGCTTTATTTGGGAATCGCAACTAACAAAAAAACAAATTCAGTCCTAACATAAAAACAGAAACAAGCTTGACATTTGAATACAGCGGTCTGGACCCCAACTACATTCTTAGTCGAATGGATGTTATATTCTATAGACATTAAGTACAGAAAATTATACGCTTCAAAAGTGCACTTTTCAGGTGTTATGGGCACTCTTTCGAACTCAGATATTGCTGAAGAAAAAGAAATTGAAACATACTACCATGATGCAAGAGAAATAGAAGTAGGAGATAAACTTCCGCAATTAAGATGATAAAATGGAAGCCTGAGTTACTGACTTCACTGAGACCAGGATTTCATGTAAAAGTTCCTGGGATCTCATTATTGCTTTGTTTTCAGTAACAATTTTCAAAGAATTTGCCAAAGGACTCAATTAGTATACTGGGTCAGAAAAGAATTAATACAAAACCAAAACCATCACACTGGTATCTAATTTCTTTTAACGCTGGAATATTTTTCAAACTCCCTAAAACACACATTTCTATTATGGTAGTTTGAAGAAGACTCACACTTTATCAGTTGTGTTACCAAAGCTTGACAGCCATGAACACTAAAAATATGGATTTCTAATATATTGTCTCTAACAAATAATAAACTAACATTTTTCCCTGCTGAAAATTTATGGTTGATGAAAGACAAACCAATGAAACTTATACATAAAACAGCACACTGAATCTTCAGTGGAAAGCTGCACAGGTTACTGACTAAACTGAGCTGACAAAGTCTTGCTAGCACACTAACTGTACAATATTGATTCATTTTAGGCACTTGGAAATGCATCTCATAATATTAAAATTTAGTATATGTAAAACCAGCACAATTGTCAGCCATTTCTTTTATCCAATGAATGCCCTGAAATGACTTTGAATGTTGCCAACTGATACACAGCATCCATATAAAAAGTTCCTACTTTTCTATGCAAGTCTATACTTTCTGTTCTTCCATATGGCAAGAAGTACCATAAAACATAGTATCTTTCACTCACAGATACTTCAAAAAAAAGGAAAAAAGAAATATTCCTGCAAAGACTCTAGGCAAAATGACACCAAACGTATGCTGCCTTCTGTATGAACATCCCCTTCTAAGTCTTCTGAAAAATTAAAAACATTTTTGCAACTACTAAAGACCAGTGCTGGCAGTATGCAGTTGCATCTAGCACCCTAAAGTCTAGTGTCTTCACAATAGTGCTGAGTCACAAGTGAGTATATGGAAAAGGATACTGTTAGTTCAGGGGAAAAATGACAGAAAAAACACACTTTGTCACTCCTGTCAACACGGAATATTGCCTGTGATCAATACGGTAACCAATTTCTGCAAGATTACCCAGAGGAAACTGCAGCACAGTCTAGTGTGCATCTTCTACTGTTTTCATCTACATGTAAAAAGTGCCTAAAATTACATGTTACAGTCTGATGAATGACAATATCTGTGTTCTTAGTGCAGTGCAAAAAAATACCTCTGGAGCTATATAGTCAGGTGTGCCACAAAAGGTTGTGGTGGTCACTCCATTCAGAATCCCTTCTTTGCACATCCCAAAATCAGCCAGTTTACAGTGGCCTTCTGCATCCAGAAGAATATTGTCCAGTTTCAGGTCCCTGAAATAAAGAGGCTCAAAATTACATCAACTTTCAAATTTAGATTACATGCTCTTGTCTTTCATCATAAACTATAGAATATGACAAATAGATGGTTTCACTAACACCATTGAGAAACCACTCTTCACACGTGTGCACAAAAAGTTGGTAGCAGTCGCTAAACAGACCTGGTTAAAAGCAATATGGAAGCAGGCAATGACAAGCATTTTGCAAGACCAAGCCTTTACTCTCTCCATAGTGGCAGGAAAGCACAGCTGTATTCAATACAGCATCAGAAACGTTTGGAAAAGATCTCAGTCTCGTTTGCTACAAATCTAACATTCTATGTGAAATAGGTCAATGATGTCTAACGAAGCCATTCTCCATTTTTGCATTAGCACAAAGTCAGGAATACCAATTTACCCATACTCTATCACATGGGTTGAATTAATATGTACTTTCAAACTAGGACTATTTTGAATTGGATTCTTAATGTATACTAGCAATTCAAAGTTCAAACTGCAATGAGAGGGAAGAAAAACAATGCTCTCAGCTTTGGGACCATTATTTTCTGCAATTTAAACCTGCTCAAAAGCAACCTCACAGGAATATTTTGCATTCATGGTTAAACAACACATCTTAGCAGCTGTCTCTGATCACTTGTACAAATGTCTTTGTGTCAAAACCACACAATTCTTCAGTTATTAAACTGGGTGAGGTCAAAAACAGGTTGAGAAAGGGATATCCACCTTTCCTGCCTTGCCCTCCGCACATTTTCTAAATATATCATTGATGGTTATCGCATGTTCCAACACAATGGATGCTAGGTACCATTTAATGTACCTGCCACTCGCCTTAGAGTAAACTACAAAAGTATCTGGAAAGTCAATGCATAAAAGAACTCTCACTTGCAGGGAAAAAACCCCCACAATTAAAAACATTTTACGATGTATAAATAATAAAACAAACATAAAACAATAGCAAAACCCCCCACTTATATTGCATGGACCATATTAATTTTATACTTCTATCTAGGCTTTAGGTACCTCTCTGGTGTGTATTAAAAATACACAGCAATAAATGAAGGCATTGTACAGAGACATACAGAGGTGAGAATCAAAAGTGGAACACGTCCTCAGGTGACTTTGTGGACACTTCCTGATCAGAACTTTACTCCTAGAAGAATTAGAGAAATTTCCATAGGTGGAACTGATGAGAAAAAAGTGTGTGTAGGCAAGTTCTAAATCAGACAGAGGAATAAAATCCCATTACAGCTTCTGTAAACAAATTTCACCCCAAAAGTCTATGAAAAGACACAGGTTTTTTTGCACAAAACTTTTATGCCAACAAATTCCACGTGAGTGAGGGATGAGAAGTCTTCACACCCTACTCTTGGGATTTCTTTCAGAGAAATGTCTCCCTGTCAGCCCCTAGACTTTAGAACAACAGGCACTGTAACATGGTGGAAGCATTCACACACATTAAAGGATTAAACAAGCTTTCCAAGGCTGCGTTATGTTAACAGTTTTTGTGGACATGTCCAAGGCTACAGTATGCTAGGATTTCCCCCAAAATGTTCTTTTCTCCCTATCAAACCAATTTCAGTAGATGGAGTTTATTCTTTGTTTTTTCTTCTCTTTCTTTCGACACTCATTCAAAATTTTCAAACATGCTGGCCCACCTGTATTTACCATATATTTCTGAAGCATGTACACAGGACAGCATAAAAATCAGATATTTCTGGGACACAGTGGACTTACTACTCAAGGTCAACATAATCATTCCACATCTGTGCAGTAAATCAGACACTTCTTGGAAGCACTGGATGACTTACTGTGCATGTAGAGATCGGTTGTGCTGTGTACGTGTTATAAAGCGGTTTGTGCACGTACAAGAAGTCTGACATAGCAAAACAAAGTCAGATTTACCTCACCAACAGCAAACCCACTGTCTCCCACATAAACTAGCTTTATCAGATATGTTTTATGTAGCTGAAGTATATACTGGCTGTAGAAACGTTCACTGTAACCAGTACACCCTACACTGGGCTTTGCTATCTCCAGATCAGATACGCTGCTCTTATAGGTCCTCTACTGGTCATCCACATAAGGCCCCTTGGAGCAGACTACGTATTTTATCATTCCTTAAGGTCATCCTTTTTATGAGTTCCTAAACAACCCAAGATCCAGCTGGCTACAACATAGGTCCCTACACCTAACCATTTAACCCATCAAATAACCGCCTCTTCCTATCCCTGGAAAGTGATTTGCAAGAATTGTCCAACATCACGCAAGGGCAAACAGATATCAACAGCTCTGTGCTCCCAAAGTAGTCAAATAAACAAAATAAAGCTCCTTGCTCCAGAAATCATGTGCCTTCCCAAAACGGCTCTTCCGGTGAATTACAAGCATTACTATCAAAAGACCTGCATTAAGACAAGACTACAACATCATGAAGTAGAATGTGATCAAGTACAACAATAGGATAAAGCTCTTGCAGATGGGAGAAGGGAATAAGCTTGTAGCTGTGGCTTTTAACCTTCCAAATGCAGTGTTATCTTGGATGTTCCTAAGCTAAGGAAGAATACAAGCTACATTTCAAAAAGTCAAGATGTTCAGATAAAGAAATCAAAGTATAATTATGTCTGATGTGATCTTGGAACCACTTCCAGCCACCATCACAACAGACTGTTAGGAAGAAGGTCATAATACAAACAATTATGATAGGAACTGATGAAATTTAAGAGGCTGCTCAGAAAACTAGATCCACCTTAATCTGGAGTGGTAAATGATCATCAGAAGACTCCTAAATGTTACCTTAACTCTGATCCCAGAAGCAGGACTTCCCAGTGCAGGCCGGTGACACAACGGAGCTGCTAGGACCTAAAATGCCACCCATATACTAGACATGGAGTTGAATGGAGATACAGTCGGTAACCCAAGAAACTCCTAAGCTAAGAGAAATCTCAACAGTAATAAAACACTAATAGCAAGCCACCACATAATGGAGAAGGACAGGATACTAACCATTGTCTTTATTTCCTTAAAGATTTGTACAAGACACAGAAATTAGCAATAAAAATTTCACTTGACAGTGGAAAAAGAGAATGAACAAACTGAGAAAAGACAAAAACAGGACGAGTCTAAATATTGAACTCTGACTACCTGTAAAGATCTGCCAGTGAAATTTTAAGCCTACCTGTAAAAGCGCAAGTCAATTTTACTTGCTTACCATTTACCAAACTATAATCCTACTTGACAGAAGAAAAACATCTGGGATCCTGCCATCAAGACAAAGCAAAGCAGTGAAGCTTATAAACCTCTTCAAAACTCTATTGGAGGCACTGAGGACATCAGCTCAATTACTCACGCAATAATGGAATTTAATACCAGTAGATTCTTATTATCACGAAGTGCACCAAAGTTTCAAAAGAAATTTGGAAGAGGCTAAACCAATGGCAGCATGACTCCCATTAAAGTACAGATGGGAGGTGAAAAGGTAAGCTGGGAGTCTGCCAAAGTGCCAAATTCATAGCTAGCCCGCAAGATTGTCATAGTCGATAGAAGTGCTTGCACTGAAAACCATTCAAAACCATTCTGCAATTTACTGTTGATGGATTAAAAAAAAACAAAAAAAAACCCTAAACAAAAAAACCCACAAAACTCCCCTAATTATGCAACTTTGGAAAAAGAAATCTTCGTTAACTAAATACATGTAAGAGAATAGGTAACGTGCTATTAAACACCCCACAGAAGAAAACCTAAACTAAAACAGACAGAGATGAGGAAACAAATGAAAAAGTAAAGAAAAAGAGTTGTCAAGGAAGCTTGTCTTTCCAGATCAGCAGTCTCACTGAAAAAAAAACCTTTAAGTTTTAGTTTAAGACCTGTCTCCCTAGAACTGTTCTAAGAAACTGCCAGCTCTCCTACATCTCAAAAAGTAAACAGCTAGCAATCTCTGGAATTAAATTAATTGTCTGTACAGAGCGATCCATTCTGATCCATTCTGTCTTTTATTTGGTTCTTGGCATTAGTGCCAGCTGCCTACCTCTAAATCAGAACATAACAAATAATACAGTGTCAAATAGCTCAATGACAAAGGTCTATTAAATTCTTCTTTTTCTCATTTTGCTTTCTCTTTGTAGGAACTAAGAAAGTCATCTGTGTCTGACAAAATGAGTTCCTACAACCTGAGTAATTACATGCAACTGCAAACAACCTAACCAGTTAAGCCAGGAAAATGCCCAGAATGGTTGAATGCAGTAATGCTACATTAAGCTACTTCTCTCCTTTGTTTCTTTGCCAAGATACTTTGTACAGTCAGTTCAGTTGACTTGAGCACTCTATTACATAAAATGTTTGGGTTTTTTTAAAATATTTTTTTTTCCTTTCTCAGAAAGCATTAAACAGAAATTTAAGCCTTGGTTTCTATTTCTGGATAACTGCCAGCATTGCAATCACCTCAGAAGCTGGAATGATTGGCAGGATCTCAAGAAAGAATTGGGATTATGACAGCAAGGTTTGTGCAAGTCAGAACAGAAGAGCAGGCTGACTGCAGGTAACCTGTGAGAAAGCTTCACGAATGCTCATTCCTTCCTACTCGCGCCAGTGCCCTGAGACACTGCCTGCCTCAGCTTCCCACAAATGCTCAGTGGACAAGGACCTCACAGGAGACAATGAGATAACCGCCTTGTGTGCGTGGCCTTATGTCACACATGTCATTTAGATAACAGATAATTTTCATGTTGAAAGTAAGGCAATTAAACAGTCAAGATGGGTTTTGACCAGTAAGATCAGAAAGTCTGCCAAACATTACTAACAGTAGCCTTTGAACATGGTAAACATTAGTGACTAAATAAATCCATATTTGAAGAACAAGATCAAGTAGCTAAGAAACATATCACACGGTGGTTTTAAGCAATCACTTTACAATGAAGTGTCTCTGCAGCATCTGCTTCTACACTAGCTGCTGAATGAGCGACATAACTAGAAAGGATATACATTTCAGAATATAGGTCAGAA